CCCCGCCCCGCCCCGCCCGACGCCATGAACCGCAGCAGTGCCAGCAGCGCGGCCGAAAAGGCGGCAGCACCCCTGCTGTGGGGTGAGTGAGGACGAGGCGGGGCGGTACGCCCCGGGTTAGGGCTGGGGGGAGAAAAGGGAACTCCCGTGAGCCGGCCCGCCCCCTCCCTTCGCAGGCTGCGAGCTAAACCAGGAGAAGAGGACGTGGACCTTCAGTCCCCAGAGGGAGGGGAAGCAGGACTGCAAGCTGTCGCTTAGTACGGTGGGTGCCCCCCGCCCCGGAGAAGGGAAGCATAGCGCAGGGAGGGCCTTGGACAGCTACAGAGGAGCAGGTGGGCTTCTCTGGTCCCAACAGGTGGACCAGGGTTTCCCTCCTCTGCCCTCAGGGTGCTGAGGTGCCCTGCCTGTTTTCTACCCCTCTCAGATTTGTTTGGGGGAGAACGCCAAACAGGAGGTGAACCGCGTGGAGATCCTGCCCCCAGCAAGGCAGGAAGACAAGAAGACAAAGCCCGTCACCATTGCCTCGCTTCAGGCCTCGGTCCTACCCATGGTGAGCCTTGCCCTGCAGGCCTGGGAACACTGCCCAGCCCTCGCCCCTGGGTGGGGATGCACACAGACGTGGCATACAGTTCCCCGCAGAAGCACAGCCCTGCTGGTGAGGCGATAGAGCCCAGGACTCAAAGCCTGGACTCAGGAGGCGGAGAGTCCCGGTTCCAGCCCACCCTTGAGCCACCATGTGACCTTGGGCAAGTTAATCTCTCTTCAAAATCACATTTTTAAACTGTTTGCTGCTGGTGACAGGACACTGTCAATGATTTACATATTGATTGTGGATGCAGATTGTGGATCCAGAAATTCTCTTATTTCTAATAATTTATCATGAGTTTTCTATGTAAATCATTTTTGTTTGTGATTAATGACAGTCTTGGTGTCTTTTTTTTTTTTTTTAATCCTATTACACTGGCGAGGACCTGCAGTACAATATTGGATAAAATGGTAACGGTAGATGTCCTTGTTTGATTTCTGATTTTTTTTTAAAGGAATGTTTCTAATGTTTCTCTATTAAGTATGACGTGTTTGGTAGACATCCTCTGTCAAATTAAGGAAGTCCCCATCTAATTTTACTCTACTTTGAAAATTTGGGTTTTCTTCTTTTTAATCATGAGTGGTTATCAAATGCTTTTCTATTCCTATGATCTAGCATTCTTCTTTAATCTGTTAATGTGGTAAGTTATATTAATGCAATAACGTTCAACCAACTTTGCATTTCTGAGATAAACACTACTTGATCATATTATAAACTTCTAGATTTACTTTGTTAAATATGAAGACTTCTTTCTAACTTATACAGTCATAAGTGAGGTTGGAGTATAAATTCCTTATCTTATTTGGGTGTATAGCAGCCTAAGGAACTGAGGGATGGAGCGTTCCCTCCTTCTATGTGGTAGAACAGGGAATATAAGACTAGGAGTATCTGTCTTTAAAGATCTGCATGACTGATCTGTAAACCTGCCCTCAAACCTATTTTTTTCCTCTGTCTATGAGATCTCTCTAGATCTCATCCATTCCCCTGGTTTTAAAGATCATCCATACAAATGAAAACTCTGAAATTTATTTCTGTAAACCCAACCTCTCTCATGCTCCAGATCCTCTGTTCAGCTCAATATATTTAATAGATATCTAATAGATATTCCAAACTTAACATGTCTAAATCCAAATACTTGATTTTTTTTTTTTTTTTTGGTGAGGAAGATTAGCCCTGAGCTAACATCTGTTGACAATCCTCCTCTTTTTGCTGAGGAAGATTGGCCCTGGGCTAACATCCGTGCCCATCTTCCTCCACTTTATATGTGGGACACCTGCCACAGCATGGCCTGATAAGCAATAGGTAGGTCCACGCCCAGGATCCGAACCTGCAAACCCTGGGCTGCCCAAGTGGATCGCACAAACTTAACCACTGCGCCACCGGGCCAGCCCCCAAATTCTTGATTTTTATCTGTAATCTCTTCCCCACCCCTAAACCTGATCTTCTCCCAGTAAATAGCTGTTTTTACGATTAGTCAAGACGAAAACCTCTTTCTCTAACACCCCATGTCTGATCCACCAGCAAATCCTGTTGGCTCTGCCTTCACAACACACCCCAATCTGAGCACATCTCGCCGCCTCCCTGCTACACCCTGGTGCAGGTACCCAGCACCTCTCGCTCAGTTTTATTGCAAGGGCCTCCTAACTGCTCTGCCTGCCTTCACCCTTGGTCCCCGTGGTCTGTTCCAGGGGGTGACAAACTACAGGATAAAATCCAGCCCACTGCCTCTTTTTGTCAATAAAGTTTTATTGAAACACAGCCGCACTCCCTCATTGACTTATTGTCTGCAGCTGCTTTGGCTCAGTGACAGCAGGCTTGAGTAGTCTCCATAGAGACCATATGTTTTACAAGCTTAAAATATTTGCCATCTGGCCCTTTGCAGAAAAAGTTTCCCAATCTCTGGTCTATTCTATACACAGCTGCCAGAAAGATCGTTTTAAACACAAGTCAGATCATGTTGCTTCTCTGCTAGAACACTTAGGTCAATGACTTCCCACTTCATTTAGAATGAGATCCAAGATCCTTTATTTGTGTGTGTGTGAGGAGATCAGCCCTGAGCTAACATCTGCCAATCCTCCTCTTTTTCTGCTGAGGAAGACTGGCCCAGGGCTAACATCCGTGCCCATCTTCCTCCACTTTATATGGGAGGCCGCCACAGCATGGCTTGCCAAGCAGTGCGTCGGTGTGCGCCAGGGATCCGAACCGGCAAACCCCGGGCCGCCGCAGCGGAGTGCACACTCAACCACTTGCGCCACCGGGCCGGCCCCCAAGATCCTTTATGTTCTGGCCCTCAGCAACGTCTCTGACCTCAACCTGTGCTTCTCGCCCCTCCCTAACCCTGCTCAAACCACAGTGGCTGCCTTGACTGTACCTTGAAAACTCCAAACATACTCCCTCCTCGGAGTCTTTGCATTTACTCCTCCCCATGCCAGGGACACGCTTGCCCCCAACTTCAATCTGGTCTTTGTTCAAATGTCATCTCATTGAAGAGGTGTTCCCTGACCACAAACAGCATCCCCTCTTCCTAACCCTCCCATAATCACTTTCCCCCCTGTAGGACCCATCACAGCAATTAGTTTTCGTTTCTACATTGCCTTTCTCCCCAAACAGAATACAGACTCCGAGACAGCAAGGACTTGGCCTATTTTCCTTGCTGCATGATCCATACTGCCTGTATGATGGTGCCTGGTATGTTGTGGGAACTCAATATATAATGGATGAGTGAGTAAAGAAGTGAATGAGCTGTGTGAGGCTGGTTTGATTTTAAACTGTTGTGATTTATTTAATAGTTATAAATATACTCAGATGTTTCTATTTCTTTGAGTCAGTTTTTTTATCAGCTTTATTGACATATAATTTCTATGCAATAAGATTCGCCAATGTTAAGTGTACAACTGGATGCATTTGACAAATGTATATAATTGTGTAACAACCACCACAATCAAGGTAGAGAAAATTTCCACACACCCCCAAACTTCCTCATGCCTCTTTGCCGTGAATCCCTTCCACCTACCACTGCCACTGGCAACCATTGATCTACTTTCTGTCACTATGGTTTTGCCTTTTCTGTGATTTCATTTAAATGAAATCAAACAATATGCAGTCTCTTGTGCCTGGCTTTTTTCACTTAGCATAATGCTTTTGAAATTTATTCATGTTGCTGGTGAAACAGCAATATGCTCCTTTTTTATATCTGAGTAATATTCCATTCTGCAAATATATGTATATTTGTTTATTCACTCACCTGTTAATGGACATTTGGGTACTTTCCAGTTTTAGACTATTATGAATAAAGCTGCTGTGAACATTTGAGTATAAGTATTTGTATGGACATATGTTTTCATTTCTCTTGAGTAAATACTTGTGAGTAGAATTGCTGGGTCGTATAGTAAAGCATATGTTAAACTTTATACAAAACTGCCAAACTATTGTCCAAATTGCTGTACCATTTTGCCTTCCTACCAGCAATGTATGAGAAGTCCAGTTGCTCCACATCCTCACCAACACTTGGCATTGCCGATCTTCTTAATTTTAGCCATTCTGGTATCTATATAGCGGCATCTCGTTGTGGTTTTCATTTATTTCTTCTGGACGATTGGTGATGTCTGCCATCTTATTGGTTTATTGGTCATTTGCATATCTTCTTTTGCAAAATGACTGTTAAGATATTTTACCCATTTGTAAATTGAATTATTCTTCCTGAGTTGTAGGAGTTCTTTATATATTTTGAATACAAGTTCTTTATCAAAAATATTTATTTCAGGGGCTGACCTGGTGGTGTAGTGGTTAAGTTCACATGCTCTGCTTTGGCGGCCCGGGGTTTTCAAGTTCGGATCCCAGACATGGACCTACCCACCACTCATCAAGCCATGCTGTGGCGGCAACCTATATACAAAGTAGAGGAAGGTGGGCACAGATGTCAGCTCAGGGACAATCTTTCTCACCAAAATATATATATATATATATATATGTATGTATGTATATTTATTTATTTCAAATATTTTCTCCTAGTGTGTGCCTTGCCTTTGCATTTTCATAATAGTGTTTTTTGAAGAGCACAAGTTTTTAATTTTGATAAAGTTCAATTTGACATTTTTTTCTCTTGTGGTTCATTCCTTTGGTGTTCTAAGAAATTATTGCCTAAATTAAGGTCAGTAAGGTTTTCTTCTAGAAATGCTATTATTTTAGCTCTTATATTTAAGTCTATGATCGATTTCAAGATAATTTTTTGTATAATATGAAGTAAGGGCTGAAGAACATTTTTTTCCAAATTGATATCCAGTGCTCCAACACCATTTTTTGAAGACGATATTTTCACTCTGCAATTACCTTGGCATTTGCCAAAAGTCAGTTAACCTTATACGTATGCATATATTTCTATCTACTCTTCTGTTTCATTGATTTGTTTACCCTTATTCCAATAACAGACTAATTTGATTATTGTACTTTTATAGTAAGTCTCAAAATTAGATAATGTGAGTCCTCTAATTTTGTTATTTTTTTCCAAAATTATGTTGGCAGTTCTAAGTCCTTAGCATTTCCATATAAATTTCAGAATCAGCTTTCTTTAAAAACCAGTCTTCTGGGATTTTGATTGAGATTGTAATGAATCTATAGATTACTTTAGGGGGAATTGGCATCCTAACAATTCTGAGTCATCAGTAATTGAACATGCTGTATCTCTTCACTTGTTTAAGTCTTCAGCTTTTCCGAGAAATGTTTTGGAGTTTTCAGGTCACCTACATACTTTGTAAAATTTACCCCTATGTATTTCATGATTTGGGGTGGTATTGAAAATGGTGTTAACATATTTATTGAAAGATAATTCACATACCATAAGCTTCACCTATTAAAGTGTATAATTCAATGGCTTTTAGTATATTCAGAGTTGTGCAACCATCACAATCTGTTTGGAATATTTTTATCCCCCCCAAAAGAAACTCCATACCTACAAGCAGTCACTT